CCACCAGACACCACATTCATCCTTGAGCAGTAGATGGCAACCAGCTAAGATACCATAAAGCATCTCAGATAGCCCTAGATGTCAACATCTAGGCACTTGTATCCTGCCCTGAGTGTTGTTGTGGAAAATATGCTTTTTAAACCTATTTATAATGAAAATGTGTGTTTAAAATTGGGTTTTAGGAAAAAAAAAAAAAAAAAAAAAAATGTAAAAAGGTAACTGATAAGAGACAGAGATTATAATCTCTGAAAAATACTTGAAAAAAATGAAAACATTTAGCAGTAAAGAATTCGTGGTTCCCCTCAGCCTATTTATGCACTTTGTAATGTTCTTCAGGTTCTTGAACATCAGAGCTATTAACCAGATTATAACCCTGGACAAACTAAGCCAGCAGGTCTCCCTTTGTGTTTCATTTTGTTTCTACCATTAATCAGCACTAAAGCTGATAACTGAAGAGCAGTTTGTCCAAGCTCTTTTAGGCCATTACCTGGCACAGGTTCCTGGAGTGCCAAGTGAGGGCTGAGACTTACAGAGTGCTTCTGAATGGGTATGGGGAAAGGGATTCCACTAGGCTGCCTAGGGGCCATGATGGGGCTGTGAGAGGAGACACCACCACGGGAGAGAGGTGTGCAGGAAGGATGTTATGTGAAGCAATGGACATGCTTTTCTTTAACAAGCCTCCCTGCTGCACCCTCTCTGAAATTAAATGGTGTTTCCAAGTAGCCGTTGCGTAAAAGATGTTGCCAAACATTTTTGTTATATCTTAGACATCCTTTAGTTTTCTCTTGCTTTTATTCTGCAAATTACAGTGGAGCTGGTACTCTTTTTATTCTGAGGAAAGCGGCAGTTTAATACCAATTTATATATATACAAGGGGAAGGGGAGGGGAATCAACCATTGGTTTACTCATCGCATCATCCCGCTCACTCAGCAGGACTGCACGACTTACTGTAACAGAGACTTCACGGGGAATGGCACCAGTGTGAGTGAAAATACAATACAGCCAAATGACAATGATTGCATCGTCCCATTTTGCATCAGGCAGTCTGCCACCTTGACCTGCTTTTCCTGGCAGGAGGGCAGGGCAGGCAAGAGAAATAAGATGGGAAGATCATGCTGTTGTAAGTTTTCAGGTTTTGGTATTTATTGGTCCTGTTCTTCTCATAAATCAGGTGCATATGTGTCACTGTGTGTGCTCCTATTCCATCCGCAGTGAACAGCTATATACACCATCAGGTCTGGTTAGAGAGCAGCTGGGCAAATTTACTCTGAAGAGAGAGAAGAGTTTTAAATACCTCAAACAGGAGACAGCCTGAAAAGTACAGGCATTTTAGGTATTTTCTGCCACATATTGTCTCTTCCTTTCTCAAAAGGCAACAAAAAGCAGTTGAAGATCTGAATTGAAAGCGGGGAAGCATTCAGTTGTTTGTCTTCCTGCTCTGTCAAATTAAAATGGATGGGAAGGTAGCTGTATTCCTGTATATGCTTGGATTATTCTGGAGAATATTCACTTTTATCTTCTTTTTTTCCTTTATTACTCCTAAATGTTTCGGTATCTCAAATTGATTTTCCTTTTTTTTGCATAGGTTATGAAATATGCATCTCATTCTGTTAAAGGAATCTCTATTTTCATGGAAGCTATTTATTCGGAGAGGATTTACAGAGGCCTAAGTCATGCCTGCTTAAACATTCATTGAGGACTCCAAGAAAAATCATTTAGGCTTAAACATATCACATTACATACCTCTTTATGTCTTCTTAAAAAGCACATTACCCTGCTTAATCCTTTACAAGCACCACAGGCTTTCCTATCCTTGGAACTATTCCCATTTAAAATATAATGAAGCACTTCCATTGTGCCCCTGTCTGCTCTCCCTTCCCTAGAGTATAATAGTGCCTAATGCCCTATCCTACCCACCTTGTTCCTCTGAACATGATACCATAGCCTGCAGCGTCTACGTTTTTCTCAGCAGTACAAAGTGGAAAATTCCTTTCCCAGGCTGCATAAGCAGAATCTGAATGCGTTTGAGACCTCTGTCTATTTAACTCTATCTGCAAAATATTTAGCCGGTAGGAAACTTGTGAATGACTGTCAGGTGAAATAATGCTTCTGGATGGCACAGTAAAAGAAACTCCTCTTAGGCTCTTATAATATTTCCTCTTCAACTTGCACACAGTATCAAAGGGAATTTGATCTGGAGATTTTTTATTTTCTTGTGATCCTGTTTGCATTAGTAGTGGAAACATTCCGGCAGCTGAACCCTTTGGTTATCCCTTGACACTGTGGATGGAACTTTTACCTTCTTAAGAATAATGTAATAGTAATAATATTGTTTAAGCTATCTATGAACAGGCCATACCAAAGCTTTGCTAAGATGGTTTGTCTGGGGAAAAAAAGGGGTAATAATGTTTTGTGATTCTGTGCTAGAACAAATTGTTAATAACTGGACACGGTTATTCTTAATTTGATTTCAGCATTAGCTATAGCATAAAGATTTCTATAGATGGGCCAAAAAAATCCAGAATTAACTAATTATCCAATTATCCTGATTTACTCACAAATTTGCTATTAGAATTTCTGTTCTGGTGGCAGGTAAACTGATCACACCACAAAAAGATCTAGTTAATATATGCCAGTCCATATGCCTTTGCTGTGAACATTTCCGACCGTGGACTTGGCCAATAAAAAGATACTGAAAACAAGAGATAACCAAGGCAAACTTTTTGGATATTGGCTCTGTACTGTGATTCAGCAGCTTGACAGTGGCTAAGAAAGAGATAGGAAGCAAAAAAGGCAAGAGCATATAAAAATGCTGAGACTGTACTCCAGTCCCCAGTATATCTTAATTCACTAGAAGGGGATCAGCAAGGCTATGCAGCTGTTAGTTAGCAAACTAATTATCAACCCAGACACTGATTCCCCTCTGCCTCTGGAGGTGATGCTTCTTGGGCAGATGAGATGTTCTGTTGTTGTTCTACAAGTAATAAGGTTCAGGAGTACCCTTAAGACCTTGATGTGTTTAGGCCCACAGCTGAAGGTGCAATTTATCTATTTTG